AGTCAGTGTGCTATCTAATTATAGCATAAATACAGATAATCAAATCTTATCAGAACACCTACGCGGTCGTGATGTGCTCTTGAGCTTAAACTCATAAAAAGTAATTAGCAGATATATATGTTTCACTTTGATTACTGTGTCAAGAAAGTTTAACGTGATGAAGAAATGCATAAGACAAAGCCAAGTTGTTGCTGAGACCGCGTCTTGAGATTTTTTGCTGTCAGTAAAACATGTTGATAATCTGCATGCTGAAGTAAATGTAACAAATAATGTGGATCAGGAGTTTGTAATATGGATGAAATCCAATCTTTAGGAAACCTGAGGACATTCAACAACACAGGTAGATCACATATGATTAATTTTTCAAAGTTATGAAAAAAGATGATATACAGGTATGATATGAACTTACCCTTGAAAACCTGAATGTGTTCTTGGCCCTACTGGCAATTGCTCAGCTTTAGAAGGGATAAATGCTGTATGAGACTTACGTCCGCTAGAAACCAAACTATGTCGTTATTCATGACAAAGAAAGACAACACAGTTGGTACCAATATGACAGTTTTGTTTGAGAAAGACTCGAGCTATATGGAAAAGAAAGATTTACTTTTGTCTCTTGGAGTATGGTGCATATGTCTTCTTATGATTTACTAATGAAAGTGTTACGTCCCACCCGAAGGGGTCTAGGCATGCGAGTGAGGGGACCAGTAACAAATGAGTCCAGAACAGAATGAAAGGAAAACAGACCAGTGTTTTTAGTAAATAAAATAGTCTTTATTATAGATCATCTTAACATAAAGAGCCAGCAACGCCGTTTTACCAATAACACTCAGAAAAAGAGAAAAAAGGTTGCAACAACAAAGAACACAACAACCAAACAAAAACTCCACACCACGAGGAGGCACTTCCAGGGGCCCACAAACTCACCCTGTCACTAACAGCAGCTGGCTTTACTGCTGCCAAGGCCCACAAGCCCACACTACTCACGTAAAGCAGCGATGCTAACTCCACACTTCAAGCAGGCTAACCACACACAAGGCAGAGACACCAGAGAACACCCCACACCCTGCTCACAGCTCATCCCCAGCTTATATGACCTCAGAGAGGTGATTGCTGACTGGGCCCAGGTGGTAAGTGAGTCCAATAAGCAGCAGCTGTGTCCTGGGGAGAGAGAGAGCAAGAGAGAGACAGAGGGGTGGAGCAAAAGAGGAGGAGGCGGAGAGAAACACCACGCCCACACAAGGGCAGTATCAGGAGGCCCAGCTAGGGCCGTAACACCCCCTCCCATAAATACAAACCAGTGGTTTGTCACCGAATGTCCTACCCAGCTTTTAAACATATCACCTACCATGCACCATAATAACGGTTAGGCATACCCTGCCGAATCTGCCAAGACCTTTTTGATGGGTTGAAAACACTGCACGGGGTTGGCTCAAGTCCCTCAACATAGTGTCCCAAATGACAGCCAAATGTCTTTTGAGCTATCACATATGGAGAACCCATCAGGCAGCTAGAAGGCCGTACAGCATCACTTCTCTGATGCTTCTTCGCTAGGTCATGGCGAAAGGCATGCTGGTTAGCCAGAGGTGTGGGTTTGAGTGTTTGTGTCGTACACAATGGGTCACACTGCAGGTCATCTGGACCCGAAAGACAGTCAACAGGTGGCAGATTACAATTAGTTGATCTCTGACAGTGACCAAATGACACCACTGAGCAATTATGTGCCGACTGTTGCCTAGGACTGGCAACTTTGTTGGTTTGTGAACCACAGTTCACTCTTTTGAAAGCAGATCGATTTTGCTTTGAGTTTGCTTTCAAACAGTGAGCAAACAGGTGGCCAGGTTTGTGGCAGAAGAAACAGAGCTTTGTTTTGGCTCTTGAAACCACGCCTGTATCGGCTTTGTTAGCTGGCACACTCCTAACTCTCAAGACTGACTGTTTCTGTTTGTAGGCCCCACAATCTGCTATTAAATGGCCAGACTTGAAACAGAAAAAACACTTTCGTTTTGCCTTGGAATGGGACAAAAGTACCTTACCCTTTGGGTACTGTGTAGCTGGCACATCACTAACCTTCACTAGGTCATCGCGTCGGTTGTGCTTAATGACACTGGTTTTACGGATGAGGGCAAACTCATCAGCGAGTGTTGCAGCATGCTGTAATGAGGAAACCTTCTGTTCACTGAAGTATACTGCAATCTGCTCGGAGATGCAGTTCTTAAATTCCTCCACCAGCATTAATTCACGCATTGACGCCAGGTCAGTAGCTTCGCTGGACACACACCACCGATGAAAAAGCACACTTTTCTTCCTTGCAAAATCTCGGTAGGATTGACCCTGTCCCCTTTTTAATCCCCGGAAATGCTGCCTGTAAGCTTCTGGGACTAGCTCGTAAGCTAGCAGGATGGCACTTTTCAGCTTGTCATAATTCAGACTGTCCTGAGCTGACAATGAGGAACAAACTTTTTGAGCCTTACCCGCCAGCTTACATTGGAGCAAAATGGCCCACGAATCCCGTGGCCAGTGCAAGGCCGTGGCTATTTGTTCAAACGACTCGAAGTAGCTGTCGACCTCAATGTCACGGAACATCGGAACCAGACGACTGTTTTTCCCTACGTCAAACGAGGTGTCAGCCTGACGAATGGAGGCAGTCGGAGGAAGGGAAACCTGCCGGAGTTCCAGCTGTCGCAACCTCACAGCTGTCTCTGCCTCCACCTCCACCTTCCTCAATTCGACCTCTCTGGCTCTAGCAAGCTCTGCGTCTAAACGCCTAAGCTCCAGCTCTTTCTTTAGCTGGAACTCCCTCTCACGGTCCTCCTTTTCTAACTGGAGACGAGCCAGGCGTACACGGAGCTTAGCATCCTGCTTCGAGCCTTCACTTGATTCAATGGAGAGAGGTTCGAAGCGAGGCAATGTCATGGGTTTGTCCTCAGGCAGCCCCTGATCAACAGGTGTCAACACCAATGGACCTACAGCTTGAGCTGACGCCTGCGGAACAGGCTGAGACGCTGCCCCATGCTCAAGTGGACTGGCAGATACTGGCAAGGCCACTATCCCTTTCTCCACCAAGCCAGACACAAGAGCAGCTTTCAGCTCAGCCTTACGCAGAGCTGTGGAAACAGAAATGCTATAACCTGATGCCACCTCATGCAAATCCCTCTTCCTACAGGCGTCCAGTTGGACAAGCGAGGGGTTTTTCTTAAACACGGCAATATCAAAGGTAGCCATCAACTCTAAAAACAAAAAACTACCTGAGGCTAACAATAACAACAAAGAAGCACCACCTCCAATACACAAATGAGAAAACAGGCGGGAAAAGTGTGGCCAGAGGTTAACCAATAAATAAAAGTACCGCCGACCCTCTCCCCAGACCTGCCTACTAAAATCTTAGCCTAGTTAGCTTCTGGAGTGTACCAGGCTCGAGGCAACTTTAAAGGCTAAGCATCAAGTGCACAAAGCACCGACAAGCCTACCCCCGACAGGGAACTAATCCCCACCCGGGATTACTCCGAAAATAATAAAGGAAAAATAAAAAATGAGTGCCTGAAGGAGGAGCTTACGCTCAGCTAGACACTCCCCTTTTGCTAACTGGAGAGGGAGCGCAGCCGATACAATACAACTAACCAGGCCACCGGCAAACAACTCACAAAAACTCAATTTTCCTTCTATTCATATCCCGGACGAGCCCCCACTTTGTTACGTCCCACCCGAAGGGGTCTAGGCATGCGAGTGAGGGGACCAGTAACAAATGAGTCCAGAACAGAATGAAAGGAAAACAGACCAGTGTTTTTAGTAAATAAAATAGTCTTTATTATAGATCTTAACATAAAGAGCCAGCAACGCCGTTTTACCAATAACACTCAGAAAAAGAGAAAAAAGGTTGCAACAACAAAGAACACAACAACCAAACAAAAACTCCACACCACGAGGAGGCACTTCCAGGGGCCCACAAACTCACCCTGTCACTAACAGCAGCTGGCTTACTGCTGCCAAGGCCCACAAGCCCACACTACTCACGTAAAGCAGCGATGCTAACTCCACACAAGGCAGAGACACCAGAGAACACCCCCACACCCTGCTCACAGCTCATCCCCAGCTTATATGACCTCAGAGAGGTGATTGCTGACTGGGCCCAGGTGGTAAGTGAGTCCAATAAGCAGCAGCTGTGTCCTGGGGAGAGAGAGAGCAAGAGAGAGACAGAGGGGTGGAGCAAAAGAGGAGGAGGCGGAGAGAAACACCACGCCCACACAAGGGCAGTATCAGGAGGCCCAGCTAGGGCCGTAACAAAAGCTGCGGAAGATCAGAGGTCGCGATCATATCAAAGCCATAACTAATGAAGTTTCTCATGGTAATTGTGATATATGAGCCTCCCCAGGAACAGACTTTGAGGGAGAAAATGGGACACGATGTGCATGTAAATAAACTCAGCCCAGATAACAGACAAGTGAAAAATATCCACTGTTCTTTGTAAATAATTTCTTAGGTGCAGTGGTGCAATCTCTATCCTGAATATCCATATAGTAAACGCAAGGCACAATCAACCCTTTTATGAGCACGCAGTAGAAGCTGACAGATCAAACAACAGAATCCAGGAGGACAGGGAGCAACATCCCACTTCTGCATTTGAAGCCAGATGTTTCTGGTTTGCATGGCTAAGAGAACATGTGAAAGGCTGATGTGTAGATCTTATTGACAACATTGTGGATAGAGGTTTGGATTAAAAGCTATATTGTGAATCCTCTTCATCAGGAGGTGTCTAGCTGACTTTGAAGCCAGTGCCTTTGTGTCCAAATATTTATGTGCACTTATCACTAGTTTCTAAACACAACTATATCAATCTCTTAAAGGTCAGAGAAAGCGGAGCTGAAGGTAGAATCGACTTTCTGAGTGGCACAGAGCTACTCTCACAGAATAAGTATCCGCTCTGATGCGTATGTTTTCTGCTCAGTGGGAGTATAAGCTTCTTCTCTTTTGGGACAGGCGGAGCTGAGGAGCAGCGGACTTACCTCTGCAGTGGGCACTCCCTCCGGAGGACGACAGTGCAGAACGATCATCCCATTGATTGGGACCTCCTTCCCCTGGGGGTCCTGCTCAAAGTTTTTCCTCAGGTCTGTATGGGGAGATAAGAGGCTGCTGTCAGGTGTCAAGTGTCACGGTCAGCCTGGCCTCAATTCCCTTTAGCAGCTAACACGCAGGCTTGCCCCTCTGCACACCACGACCTTCAAAATCCAATGTAGCCTGTATACGATAGAGAGGATCCAATGGCCCTGTGCTGGGTAATCTGTTAACAAGGTGGTTTGAAGGATATGCTGGATGGATGAAGTGAGCAGGATTGCTATGATCATCCTGGGCACTCATGTGCATACAATAGTGACAGATCCTATTCGGCCCATTTTCCAAACTGCCTTTGATAGCTTATTGCGCTGCAGCTATTCACTGAAAACCAGTTAAAACATAAAGCAGGAATGTGCCTTTGAAATTTTCACTTCAGTTATGAATGGGTTTTTATGAACCCTTGGGATCACAAGAGGTTGCTTGCATGTAAAAGATCCACATACAGGAGGGAAGGTGTTGAGCCTGCAGTCAAAACCTCAGTTCAGCTGGCAGCTACACTCAGTGTAAAATGACTGCAAACACAGTGACACCCAAATCTCAGTAGATAAAGAGCTCGACAGTTACTGTCATTCACCAAACATATTCTTTTTTCTCTCAAAGGACAAAAGAAATATGTTGCTTTCTTACTGTATTTAATTTATTTTGACTTTCGCTTGGCTTACAAATTCTGTAACCTCTAACTAGAGGTTACTGACATGCAGCAGTATTGGTCTCAGACAGGAGTGGTTGAAAGTAGCTGATTGTGTCTAACTTGAGAGCATTTTGTTGGGAATTGATTATTTCATTGCTAAAAAATCTAATTCAAGATAAAATCAGCTTGTTGCGCTCGCACAGTTTGGTCCAAGGAGAGGGCTCTGTTGTCTGTACACTCCGCTCTCTTTGGGGACAGACACTGTAAATCATTTGCCAGATAGTTTTGTTAATTTGGCATTATTTAAATACAACTGGTCGCTACAACTTTGAAGTTGGAGTGTGCAACATTTTCTTCAGAGACTGCTTTAGATAAAGTAAGCAAATGGACCAAAGGTTAAAAAAACTTGAATAAAACATGAGACACAAATATTTTGTTATAACATGGTCATGTTATTATAATGCTGTATTAACTAGTATTTTTTTTTAAATATATAGACCCTTGGAGTACATGCCTGCATAAATAAATCAATGTCAGAGTCACTTTACATACAGCAAACTTTGACCTGAGTTGGGCCAGACTGGTGAAACTCTCCTTTAACTACACAGTGAATCTCTGAAATGTCTTACTATAAGATAAGGAAGTACATTTTCAGCAGAACCTCTCAGTATTTCTGTGTTTCTATGCTTTTTAACCAGTGTTAACAAAAAAATAGATCACTTTTGATTGAAGGTTATAATTTTGTTTGCTAACATAATGGGCCACTAAGCTAGCATCCTCTTTCTTTGAAAAAGGAGCCCTTATTACCCACAGAGCAATTCAGCTACTACTGTTCTAATTAGTCTCAAAAACCAGGACAAAGCAGAGTGTGGTTTGTCAGTTTCTCAGTGAAGCCCACTCCTTGTTTGTCCCTTTTAATTTACAAATACCAACATTAAAAGCACTCAGCTTGAAGCTTCATAACTTGGACTGTGAGTGCCATTATGCTTGTTCTGAATACAGCCCACGATTCCATCAGAAGTTCACGTTATCCTGGCATTACCTCTACCAGCATAGCAGTGTCAAGTAGACATGAACCTTGCCAAATACATGTCTTTTTCACTCCACACCTTCAGATTTGAGCTCTAAAAATTGAAAACAGTATTGGTTGCTGGACACCAGTAGCTGTAAATAAAAAAAGCGTCCCATTTGGTTAGACAATATTATTTTGTGGGAATTAATTATTCATTTGATAAAAAGTTTTTGCTGCCATGGTCACAGATTTTGGTCCAATGAAACAGGGTTGTTGTCCTTTGTTGGGAACAGATGCTGTAAATCATATGTCAGAGAGGTCTGAGTGGTCATTTGATGTCATTATAAAGCTATCACACAGACCTATGTGGGGAAAAATCACTTTTCCAGTACCCGAGAGCTAGTCATACTATAATTCAATGTGCTTGAGGATTTTATGTCATCTCTCTTTTATCCGTTGATCTATTAGTGACAAAGAAACAGCTGGATGTCTGTGCAGGTTCAAGCCTTTACATTTCTCAGCTGAACTTGTGCAGTGTAGTTTGTATATTTGTAAACTTTGTTTTAGTCCATGGGTCTTACATGCAGCTCATTACAAGAACCATTTAAAGAGTTCTCCATTGATTTAGCTTTACATATCTTTTTGCCTACAATACCCAGAAACCCTGGGTACCACTGGCAGTTTGCTCAGAGGTTTCATTGTGTCAAGGTAGTAGCAGCTAATATATCCTTATCCTCTAGCCTCAAGCAGAGATGAGCCCCAGTAAATCCCCTTTCTTCTAACTCCACACCCCCAGATTATTTTTCATTTTCAATCTTGCAGTCTTCTCCCACAAACAATGCTGACACAAGTATCATCGCATTTATCAAACTTCACATGGCTCCCTTTGGAGACAGAAAAGCCTTTATGCCCCTTTTCCACATATGCACTAGCACTCCCCAGCACACACTTTGATGTGTAAATTGGAGGAGATGCCCTCAAAATAAAAGTATAAATCATATTTATGGACCAAATGTGGTGACATCTATAGCATCATGAAGTACCCTGCAGTATAGGAAAAGGACTGATTTTGAGATAAAATGGAAGAGTCATATATGCATGATTGGTTATCATCTATAGTTCTTTTGTGTTTAATGAACATCTTCTCTAAAATATGTTGTATGTTTATTCAATCATTTCATTCAATCTTGCAATCAAGATTGCAAGCCAAAACTAAAGTCACAAGTTTGCTGTTAAAACTTTGAGTCTTTATACCATTTCTCTTTTACATAAACTTGAAAATTCATGCCCTAAATTTTCACATCTTAGGGGAGAGTTGCAAACTCACAAGCGATGCGAACAGTAGCCTTTCGACTCTTGGATGTGCCCAAGTGGCTCCAGGCAACACAGAGACACCAGTAGTCCTCGGGGCCATGGAAATCTTCCACCTGCTGGCGTGACACGTTGATCATCACTTCACGCACCTTCAGTCCTGGATCAGCAGAGAAGGTAAGAGAGTTAGCAACTCCGTGTGCCTATGTGTAGTGTTGCACACCTTAGATTAGATTAGATTCAATTAGAGTTTTGCTACCCTGCATTTGGGACCACTGAAAAACACCTAAAGTGCTGTGCTGAATCAAGTTAAGTTTAATTATTTTCTAAAATTATTAAGACGTTTCTGCCAGTTGTTTGAATCTGTGGCATTTGTTACAAGAAGATGTGCCATATGTGCAATATATTTGTTACTTCTAACATGACATAAATCTAAAACAAAGGAACAGCTCAGGGAGTCACTGTACTATTAATAAGACCATAATGTGAACAGGTAAAACTGGACTTGATCCTTTTATGCACTGTACAGTTCCAAAAGCAAATACTTTTTCAGTTGCACTTCCTTGATCTACAAATTGTTGCAATTTATGTTGCAGGGAACTTGAAAGTATTTTTAGTGAATTCAGAAAAAATTCAAAATAAATATAAATAATAAATATTCAGTGACCAATAACTGCCCTTCGTTCCCTTCAATAACTGTGCCTTATTATCCCTAATAAGGCACTTAGATCTTCCAATCAAATGCTCCTGATGCAACCGAGGTCTCGTCTGAAGCCCAGAGGTGATCGGGCCTTTGCTATCATAGCACCCAGACTCTGGAATAACCTCCCTCCTTATATTCGTTCCTCCGAGTCCATCCAGTCTTTTAAATTGCGTCTTAAAACTTATTATTTTACTCTGGCTTTTGATCCAAACTAGTATGTTATTTCATGGCTAGTTTTTGTTTCAAACAATTGTCATATTGTTTTCTGCCCTCCTTTTAACTGTTTCTTTTTTTTATTCTGTCTTATGCTATTGCTCTGACCGACTGTGAAGCACTTTGGTCAACTTTGTTGTATTTTATGTGCTATAGAAATACCTTTTGATACTTTTTTTATTTTTATTTTACCACAATCCTTCCATCCATGAAGTCTCTTCTTCTTCTTTTTCTGAATTAGTAAGCACAGCTTTCCATGCTGTTCAAAGAGCAGTATTCTCTAACTGTTTCTTTCAGATTTGGAAATGTCCTGGAAGGTGTAGTAAAAAAGAAGCCAAGTCAGTCATCTTTGATGTCCTTTCTGGCTGGCTGCGCATTTTTAGTCCTTAAATACATAAGCTTAAGTTTAACCTCCAGTTCATGGACTGGGAATGGGAAATGATAAGAATTTAGAGATTCCAATTGCATTATCTGTATTGCTTATCAATTTGATTAATTATCAATTCTTATTGGGTTCCCACTGGTGCAACTATGAGAGTCACCACCATCTCCAAGCAGCATATCAAATACATTACATTCATGCAAATTAATTAGATGCTGTGTGGTCAAATCTCACACACTAACACAAATTCCTGTCCTAATGAGGACACACATATGATCTTTCTCTCAGTATTTAGGTAGGAACATAAAGCCAACAACACACACCGAAAGATAAAAACCAGCACAAAGAGACTTCAAAGTGATTTCAACAGTCATTCTGCTGTAGAACTGTGAACAGGTAGAAACAGAGGCTGCAGCCTGACTGCTCATCCATTAGTTTCCTGTTGTGCTTCAGGGTCTGGTTGCTGGGGTGGGGTCAGCATTCACTCAGATTTAATGTCACTATGAGATCTTGGCTAACTTAGCATTAGCATGTTGTCTGTACAGGTGCTTGTAAAAAGTCGAAGTTGACTTAGCAGTATAATGTAGTTGTTTCTGTCCTGAATGCAGTTTGCACTTTACCATCGTCCTCTCTTCCTTTTCTGCAATAAAAATAAAACATCCATATCCATGCTGTAGAATGTGCAACTATTTTTCTCCTCCAGCATACAAACTGAAATCAGCTGATTGTGTCAGTGCAAGTAAGTGGACGACTAACAATTCCACGGAAGTAGACTACTGGGAACTGGTTCTCTACAAAAACTGGTTCTTGATTCCTGTACTACCACTTAAGGAAAAAATCTTCTAACTGGCAGCAGGTATAGAAGTTGACCTCTAATACAATCCAAAAAGTTCCATATCGATCGATCGATCGATCGATATTGCGGGAAATATAATTATTACATATTTCACATATAAAGCACTGCTGCACTTTGATTGTAAGACTGACATTCAACATGTAGTGAATGAAATAGTTTTTTTTTTCAAATTAAGTCAAATATAGATGAAAAAGATGAGCACATACTTGAATAAGTGTAGCATACTTATAGCAAGATATTAGATGAGAGGAAGAAGCAGAAGAACAGAGACAACTTTTGTGTGTGTACGTGAGAGAAGGGAGTGGGTGAGAGAATAAAAAGTCAGAAGAAATTGATTTAAAAACAAACAACTTTATTCAGTCTCACAGATATCGAAAGCCTCCAATGACAAGGACAGTCACTGAGTGCAAATGAAGCTGGTGTGCAATATTTCAAGTAAGTGCTTCAAAGTACAGACGTAGCACTAAAGAACAACAGAGCTAGACATAGCAAAATGGATCGGACAGGATTGCCTCTTCGAACGATTTAAGATGAAGACTTTGTTCTAGTGATGGAGAACGTACATAGGAGACTGACTGTTCCAAGGCAAAAAAATTGATAGGCAAACATCATGAAGATACAAAACAATTTTAAAAGACTGCAACTGGAGAGCCCTATTGGTATTGACTTCTGGAAATAAAATAAAACACTGACAGCTTCACTTTTTACAAAGTAGTGCAGGCTACTTTTTATAAACCCAAACACACACTTGAATAAGTAGCCTGTAATCAGTTGGCAAAAATGGCTGTTCATAAACAACAAAAGATGAAAAATGAATAGTAAATACATATTTATTGTTCTTGTAAGCTACATATTTTATGTTTAAAGCCAAGTAATCAGTTACAAGTACCATCGTAATACCTGTTTGATGAACACTTGATCACAGACACACACGCTCCACTAATTATTGCTGCATAGACACTGATAATCCTGGTCCCATAGGGAGTTTATATAGCAAGTTTTATCCAGATTGATTAACACATCTTGGAGGAGTTATAGAGTCTTTACTTTACCATATAAAGTGCTTTTAGGCAAGTGTCGTCGTGTAAATAAGACTGCAATTAAACTGAATTGAAGTGAACTTCAACTTCACAATATAAATCATTCAACTACTCTACTTCCTGGTTTTAGCTGTTTTAGGGGATCTCACTTGAGGACAGCTTAATAAAGAAACTGTGACTGGTCCACAGTGTTATTGTTTTCTTTTGTCACTCTTGAGGGAGAGCTAATTTTTAAGTCCACTCTCGAATTACACTGTAGACTAGCAAATAGTATTTTAACTTTATTTTTGTATTAAATAATTAGAAATTTTTAACTAATCAACATAGATCAATGCGTTATTTAGAATTACTGATGCTGCATCAATTATTTAAATACTTTTTTCATAAATACAGGTATGTAATTTTTCTTTTCATGCAGTAATGACATTGATACCTTTGCAGTATGTTTAATTCACTAATACCAGAATCAGAATGTCTTTACTGCCAATTAGAGATTTAGAAAAAAAATAATCCAAATTAGTTTTCTCCTTCAATTACTAATGCCAACAAAATTATTAATGCAAGTGTTTAACTTTCTGTAATCAGCATAAAAGTGTTGTGTTAGAGTTCCACTTCGGCTGGAAAGAATGCAGAATATGCGAGCTTCAATAAACAACGCTCATCTAATTGTTAGTCTTCTTTTAAAAATGTAGTGCGATATTCTTACTTCTTTATATTATATTGTTTAATTTCATTTTAAGATAAATATTGTGGAATCTGTGTCTGCACTACTGGTGAAACTTCAATACAACATAACTGGACTGTCCTCACTCAGAAAACGGCATGATACAAGATGTTATCATGATCTATAGCTACGTTTTAAAGTTAAGGAATCTCTGACATGCAAACACATGTAAAATGTCAGTCCTCTGGGATCTTAGAGAAAGGAGCTTTTCTTAAATCGAATCAATTAGAAGTGAGAATAATTGCAAAACCAGAGATAAAGTAAAATTTCAAACTGGTCCCACTCAAAGGGAAACTCTTGGTTCCTTTTTAGGTGGACTTGCACTATTCATAACACCAGGTTAATTTACTCTAGGAGTACATAATGTATTTGGAGATTATAGAGACATGCATACATAATGCATGAGACTTCACCTAAACCCTTTAGATTTTAATCCAATGAATCAGAAATGAAAGATGGGCTCCAAAGTGACCCACAGACGTGCAGCAATTGTGGGCGGGCTAACACAAGGTTAAATAGTGTGCCCTGTGTGGCTTCATAGAAATGTATCAGCTAAACTATCAGCTGATGTGGGCTGGCACTGAGATCAGTTGATCTGCTGGGATTGCAGCAGAGCTTGACTTTGGGGCCTGCCTGAACTTGTGGGTCAACTGGCATTGCCTTTCCTACATCCATTCTGATGCCCAAAATGAACCTTCAGAACTTGGGTTTTGATATGATTTCATGAGAGTACCAGTATTAGCAGTGTTCATGTGGGTCAGGTCTAAATGAAGCATTTATAGGCTGGAAATAGGCCTCTGTTTAGGTCATGTGCTAAGCTGCAGTTAAAAGGGAAAGCCCTGTATGCTAAATAAGCATCTTTAAGAATCTGTAATCGATATCTCGATATGTCTAAAGGCTTGTGTCAGTGATCAATGGGTTTTACGGGATTAGTTATGCACAAGTTCTTAGGAAGGACTGACACACTTCCTAAATCAGTGCTTTCTGCTTCTCTATGCTAGCATCACTAAGGAAATTGGCAGAAACACAGAGCCCCGGGCAACCATGCAGTATGTTTCTAGTTCTGAATGGAAAGCTAAATCATCTATAGAAGAATTAGCATTAATAATCTGAACTACACGTAACGATGTATAGAGGCTTCCTGTGCAAGTGACACCACGATAATATACTACATTATATAACACAAAAACCCAATGTGACCACAGCAAACTGCACAATGCTCTTATTATTTTGAATGCATAA